ATTTGACCGAACCGAGGTTAGGGTAAGGTTGCGATCAATGGACCGGCTCTTTCTTTGGACCGCTCTAATTTCTCGAAACCTAAGTACTTTAAAAATCAACCGTTTGCACGAAACGTTAGCTATTTGAGCTAGTACCAACCCCCGCTCTCACCAGTGTCGCCGTGAGCTCCGTTGGGGAAGGAAGTTTGCTGCAGTGTTTCGCGCGCTCCCGATGTAATTTTCTCGTGACACAGTTTACCAGGTAAGTACAGTTTATTGAATGTTTTTAATGTTATTTATTGTGAATCGCACGGCTTATTTAGTTGTTCAAGTAGATTTGTAAACGGTTTTTTGCAATATTTCACAGATTTTTATTTATTAACCTTTTTGTCTTTGTGCTATGAATTGCCATCAATGGACCAGTAAGTTTCTCTTCAATTGGACCGGTCCAATCATAGCAACTTTTAAAATAGAAATTTAAATGGTTTTATTTTTATTTTAGCATGGCAACACGAGGGGAATACTATGCGTCGAACGAAGAAAGCATGACATTGGCACTACAAGCTTTAAGTAAATAAGAAGTTAGACTGAATGAGGCAAGTAGGATATATGGTGTACCAAAAGCGACGCTAAAAAGAAGGCTGGACGACAAAAATTTAAGAGCAAAAGGTGCAACATTATAAAAATTCCAAAAATTGGAGACAGATTAATGAGACTGTGCAATTTTATTTTATAAAGCGTTGAATAATTGTAGAATAATAAAATTGATTATTATATTATTGTCTTTTATTTGTTTGAGTTCTCATAGTACCGTTGAATGGACCACTGCACAAAATTTCCTAAGTCCAATCATAGCGACTCACCGGTCCAATTAAAGAAACAGTGGTCCAAAGAAAGCAACCAAGGCAAACCAGTTTTTTTCTATTTTCTCTGTTTATGGTTAATGCTAAAAATCACAAATGACACATGCAAGTTCTTATATATAAGGCTTATCAAAATGTTGAATCATGTTGCTCCTATGTATCACAATTCCGCTGTTATGTCATTTTAAAGTTAAGTGGTCCAATAGTGGCAACCTTACCCTACTTGGTGGAGC